ACACACACACACACACACACACACACACACACACACACACACACACACACGAGCAGATCTAGCAGAGGAACAGTTGATGGGCCTCACACATCAAAACATTATAGATGGATATTGATAAAACTAGATTATATCGTTTAAAGCTAGACAAGAGAAGACACAACGGCCGTATAGCTACATCATCGTCCACAAAACAAGAACCAGATTATCATTAGGTAAAGGGTGAAGGTCAAGGCTGCGAATAAAGGGTGAAGGTCAAGGCTGCGAATAAAGGGTGAAGGTCAAGGCTGCGGATAAAGGGTGAAGGTCAAGGGTATAAAGGTGTAGCTGATGGATGATGGCATGAACGAGAGATACATAAGCGATACAGGGATTAATTTGAGGCAGTGATGCAGATGAGAGAGAGAGAGAGAGAGAGAGAGAGAGAGAGAGAGAGAGAGAGAGAGAGAGAGAGAGAGAGAGAGAGAGAGAGAGAGAGAGAGAGAGAGAGAGAGAGATATCGGGGTAATAAAAATTCACAAAAAAAAATCTGAGTGTCGTAGTATAGGACCCACAGAAACTCTCATGATTTTGTGTCAGGGTTAGTGTGTGTGTGTGTGTGTGTGTGTGTGTGAACCATATGTCCCTCAACCATCCCCCCTTAGGACAGAACACTTACCTTTCACCTGTATTAGTAGCCTCCACCCATCTTTTCCCTCCTTAACCTTCAACCATTAACATCAACCTATCAACTCGACTTACAACCAAAATTATCCCCATCATTCGACAACCTCTAGAGACTTCAAGAGTTCCAACCAACATCTGTAGCTTTAAAAATTCCTCGATTGTCACACCCACATAATATCTCTGGTCTAAATCCTAATAAATCCTAATAAATCCCAATAAATCCCAATAAAATCCCAATAAATCCTAATGAATCCCTATAAATCCCAATAAATCCTAATGAATCCCTATAAATCCTAATAAATTCCAATAAAATCTAATATATCCCAATAAAACCTAATAAATCCTAATAAATCCCAATAAATCCTAATAGATCCCATTAAATCCTAATAAAGGTGTATAAAACAATAGAGACCTTCATCCCAGGTAACCATTTTAAGCGAACAGGAGACAGCGAAGAATAAGAAAACAAAAGCAGGATGATGGGGGAGAATTATAAGTGAAGGAACAGACCAACGAGCGGCTTGGCCCTGATGAAACAGATCGATGTATTGAAATTTACAACCAACAGGACTCCTTCATAACCTTTACAAGGGAAGGTTTATAAAGGTATCCTACATAACGAGTTGATCAGGAAAGTCGCTACCACAACTACAAAACCTTACTGGGATTAGATTAGTTTAGGTACGATTAACTATTAGTGAAATGTTTGGTTATCTATATTATATATCGTCGAAAATAGAGGGAACACGTGGTATTACTGTAGGGGATCTAACCTCCTCTACCTGTTGCCACATAGAATTGGTATAGCAACAGATATAAGGTCTACCAAAATCCCTTATGTGGAAGTCTGGTTTTTTTTTTACCGCTTTATGACCGCATCTTAAATAGGCAGCGGGTGATGTACGGCAAGCCTACAAAAAAAAAAATCCAGCCACCTTGAATCTTGCCGCAAAAACACGTTGGTATATCTTTTACACATACATTAAACTTGTTCTGTGTGTAGGTCGAGGACAAAACAACACACCATTATCCAAAAATTATTAGTAAAGGCTTTTAGACATAGTGAACAAAGACAATATACGAGATATATAGAGTATCTATAATGACGGCACAATATGACCCCTGTGGTAGATGAATTCCAGCACGAGTTTTCATTTCTCGGGCCAAGACTTAACGTTGAGTAATTAAAGTGTGTGTGTATGTGTGTGTGTGTGTGTGTGTTTGTGTGTGTGTGTGTGTGTGTGTGTGTGTTTTAATTTCTTGGCAACTATAAAACCCGCCTGAAGTGATCCACCGATGTATTTCCAGAACTCTCTCACTTGGAGGAGAACACAAGGCTAAACAACGAGTATTATTACGGTGGCAGTAAGAAGTGTATGGAGTGAAGAGGGGACATCCTACTTGTAGCCATCAGTGACCTGTAGCACCCTAATTATACCGGTGACCTGTAGCACCCGAATTATACCAGCGGCCTGTAACACCCTAATTATACCAGCGGCCTGTAGCACCCGAATTATACCAGCGGCCTGTAACACCCTAATTATACCAGCGGCCTGTAACACCCTAATTATACCAGCGGCCTGTAATACCCTAATTATACCAGCGGCCTGTAATACCCTAATTATATCAATCACCATTAGCACCTCATTTATATCAATCACTAATGTCAACAGCCTTGATAATTCCTTTCTTGGACCCATAATCATTTTACTTTCCAATAAAAGCATAACAAAAAGTACGGTACATTTTAATGGGTTCGTCTACATTTTTCTTGCTTACAACCTCTTGGTCTTGGAGGTATAACCATTTGTTTACCTTCACACTGAACTTCTATCTCTTGGGGTGGCGCTGTACAACTATTAAAATCAGCTCGTCTCTCCCCCCCCCCCCCTGAACCACGTACCCCGAGATTCAGACTCATAAATCCTAAGCATCTATGGATTTCACAAGTCTGAATTTCGGGGTTCGTGGTTCTTTGGGGAGAGAGGAACGGTCTTTAGTAGTTGACTGTACAAATTTGCTTCTCTTAACCCGTAATAGATTCTAAAGTCATTCCCCTTTATATATATATATAAAAAAAGTCCTCAAATGAACGGTTCTAATCACTTACTAGGAAAACACTATCAAATTAATAATCTTTTCGTGATATTCGGTCCAATAACTTTATGTGATTTCAGGACAGAAAAAATCCAATATGAATACCATGTTCTTGTAAGATATTGTGTTAATAGGAGAACTTTATTTTTTTTGTCGCTACATCAGAATGGAAATTAATTTATAGATGGTGAAATTTACTCCGTTTGATTTTTGACATCGTTTACCCCCCAGGAGAAATATTCCCTTTCGTTTTCTACAATAAAGCGCGGAATGAATTACGTTCCATGAATCACTATCAAGACAATGTGTGGATGTGAACCAGCAAATAGAAACAAAAAACCTGGTGACTTTTATCAACAAAACACGGATTTAATGTAAGTGTAAATGTTAATAGTAATCTTACAGAAAACTTGGTGAAAATATAAAACCTTTTCCCAGCCGCGCATTTCGTCAGTTTGATGACAGTCTGTGGACACTAGGATAGAGACGAACACAAAGCTGTGGTAATCCTGTATTTTCACCAAGTTTTTCTGTAAGATTAACACCTACACTTTAGATAATACTACTGATGAAAACATTATTATCTTTTTCCTATTGGTGGCTCATATCCACACATTGATTTGATAGTGGTAAACATAATTCAGTCCGCACTATGTAAAAAGGGAAGCACGCACTATATGTTTCCGGGATGAATCTGGCAACCAACGGGACCCGGCAGTCAGCCCCATCACCGCGACACTCCCCACTTAATAAAACACTCATTTAACATTTATATTACCATCTATATCACTCATCATGAATAATTACCAATGACGTGATGATCAAGCAGTGATGATCATGACTGCATTGATGACCGTAGAAAAATATCACAAATTAATTTAATCCATTTTGCTTGTAGTTTGTCATCTGTTACGTTGCTACCAAAAGCTTTCACTGGAGGGGTTTAATATCCGATTCGCTTTCAGTGTCGGGAAAATATGATATCAACGCCTTGGTTAACACGACGAGTTGCTTTATCTCTGAGAATTGGACTTTTTGGTGTGGGAATCGACCAAGATGCATAAGTTATTAAGTCTGTAAATGTGTTGAATGTATTTTTCTATCATTATGGCGATGGAGTGTAACGTACGTCGTGGTATTGTAAATGAGAATTGATGGGTTTAACTCTTCTAATAACTTATATCTGTTATTTACTGTATGTTAGTCCGCAGAGTGGGAAGTGTAACGGAACAACAATTACTAAGGTTGATATTTATATAGGTACAAGAACGTCTCTGACTTCAAACTTTATAACGTGACAGCTATCTTCTTTGTGTGTGTAACGGAAGGTGGGAGTAGCACGACCTCAGATCTTCACATAGAAAGTAAAACAGACACGAGTAAAGACGTAATCTGAAACAATTCATAACCTCGACTGCATTAGTTAGTTGTTTCAAAGTACATTATTCTATTTTTCGTCCTGAGCGATATCTGTTTAACTGATAGCAACTAAACCAGCAGTAAATCGAGAGTTAGGTTCCACCTCTTTCAGTCACAATAAGGTGCTGGAATATGATCACTGAGTCAGCTTCAATATATATTAAATAATATCATAATTTTCCTTTGACTATATGCGGTTCCTCTCTCCCCATGCCATTAGACAGTACTTGACAGCCGTTCACACCAGGACAGTGCCCAGATAAGCTACGTAAATCTATCTCTGTATTGATTAAAGATCATGAATGCCTTGGGTGTCGGCCGCATCTCTGTAATAAGTTTCCCTCTCACCATTGCGACTCGTGTTTGATATCCTCGCTTGATGTGAAGTGTTGTCCAAACATCTCTGGATTCTTTTTTTGCGGGTACTCTAGTTTCCTGCCGACCCTCACAGGGCAACTAGGGAGACTAATTAGACGTACCTGACAGACAGACGGGGCTATTCAGGTTAAATGCAGTCATTAATAATCACCACACACTCAGGGTCAGCTTCCCTGCCACCCTTTCCCGCCGCCGCCAGATGCCAACGCGCTAATATCATCTATGTATTGTATTACTTTACAACGTTCACTGGTTTTGTTTCTGCCACAACAATATATATATGTATATATATATATATATACAATAACTCTCACTGCATATTTTTTTCATCTGACAAAGAACGAAAAATAGAGTTATTATCGGTAAAATTTAGAAACTAGTTCCCAAACCTGTTGAATGACTGGAGCCAAGGGAGTATATAAGACGGCGTGGTGTGGTCGAAGTATCATTCGCTTACTTTCCACCCTCGACAGCTAAGGTAAGCTTGAGGTGACACACACTGACTGGAAACGTGTGCTATGAGTATTCTGCTTCAAGATAGAAGACTTCACCAGTGACGCCCTAACTAATACGTATTGAAATATCTTACAACTTTGTTTTTCGAAATTTAAAACATTTGAAACCCAGAAACTTCGGTATAGAATTCTTTCCTGAACAAATTTAGAGTAAAAGGGAGGTTTTCGCCATCACCGTGAGGTTTTTCTCTCAAGGAGTTCCCTCTGCCAGTACCTGTCTGATCACTACTGACGAGGTAATGTGTGTGTGATGTTGCGATTATTGTCAAGGTAACCGGGCCTTCCGTGTGTCAATCTTTATCAAACTGGTTTATTGTCTTTCCACTACGTCACTCTCACTCCGTTTTAATTTATCAAAGAGATCATTAAAGTCAGTTAAATTCTTGATAGCTTATAATTTACATTTTCAATAGACAGTGATTAAGGAGCTACCTATCAGCTGGACGACTCTAAGAGGACAGCCCGCCATCTTCCCTGCTATTATCATGTCAATAGACCAAGCAACGTGTCGATCCCAACTCTAGATTATTATTCTTTTCTTACATAATAATTTAATATTAGTTTTAAGCTCTACGTGTCAAAGCAAGAATAAACTCTGCAATATCTACTCGTGTGGGGCCATTGGTTGAGGTAAATGTTTGTATGGAATAACGTCGGGGCGTGAAGGTTGTCAGACGTCAGTGAGTAGTTAGATTATGACAGTACAGGACCAGAACGATCTCTACTGGTGATCTAACAAGGTGTTTACTTCGTGCGTAACAATAATAGGTTTTACGTCATAATAGTTGTAATTTAGAGACTTATATTCTATTTGAAACGCCAAACCCCAGATTTATTCATTAAAATCTGTACCACAAGCATTCTATTTACTTGTGTTTCTATTGGTTCAAAATCACGGGTGAGAAATATAAGGAATCTGTAGGTAAAGCCCTTTTAGCTAACACTCTCACTAATAGAATAGTTCATATTTAATTACTACAGTCTAGGAATATGGAAGATAATTTTCCATATATCTCGACGAAATGGCAGCGTTGAGAGAGACCACAACGCTGCCCTAAATAGTTATCCTATTGACATGTTATTGATACTGACGATGGCGTGTAAAACATCTCGCTTCTTATACTGTACTATTATACACTGAGTCATGACGAATACTCTTAACACTACAAAACTTCTCCAATAAGAACTACTATACTAAGACACCTGACGAGATCCTGAACGGCACCACCCACCCCTACCTCACTGTTACCAATTAAATTATCAACAAATCATTATCTCTAACACTATCGTCAAACATTACATTAAACAATACTTCCACCCATGAAAAAAATTTACGATACCTAACACTACTTATGGCTATCGTACCTCTACATAATTACAATGATCATAATACTACACGTAGGAACTAGACTTTACCTAAAGACAATATATAAACAGAACACAAAAGAAACGTAAGATAGTTCTATATTTTCTCGTATACTCACAACACTAAGTCTCATCTCTAGTACATAACTGTCTAGCCACATATAAGAACATTTTACCCATCAGGAAAAAAAAATAGACCAAGACTCAGCAACTATCCAATTAAAACGCCGTTGATATCGCATCCCTCTCGCAGGTAAAACATCCATCAACCACGTCAATAAAGAGCGGACCCTGACTTGATGAAACACAGGGAATTAAATATAGATCTCATAGCTTTCCTTTAATAAGTATATTTTAATAAGACCTTGACGAACCTCCCAAGCCTGACAGCTAACCATAAACTAAGCTAAATAAGGAGGAAAATAGTGTAAACCAACCAACTAGATGAGCTAGGTTAGACTGTAACATATTCTCTCGTCTCGCTGTGGGTGGTAGGAAAACACTTTCACTTTCCATATCCAAGCGTCGTTTTCCGTTTAGCTTATATCCTCCATTTTTTACCTACGTTGAAAGTAAGAGGGACTCAAGTGTGTGTGTGTGTGTGTGTGTGTGTGTGTGTGTGTGTGTGTGTGTGTATGTTTAGAAGAGAGAAAGAGGAATTGACAGTTTTGGTGCAGCGAAGGGCAGTGAAGCGAGGAGGTTTTGTGTCCAGAGCTCCCCTTTCAACCCTGACAACAACACACCCTCCCCTGCCACCAGCCCCTCTTCCAACACCCGCCCTGCTCCCAATACCCGCCCCGTTCCTGCCCCTCTTCCAACACCCTCCCAACACCCCCCTCCGCTGCAACACCCGCCCCCCCTCTGCTCCCAATACTTTCTACTTTTTGTCCACCATGAAAAAGTTGAAACATTTACATTCAGAGTCATTAAACTTATTTCATTACATAGCGTTCACGGTGTTCATTAATTTATGCACGAGAAGATAACGAGTTTTGTTTTTTCTTCAGCGATCACAATTTTAATCGGCTGTAAGTTTCTTCTTTCTTCACTGATGTACAAAGATAACACAGTTTCCCCTGCCAGCTCTTTTTTATTATTTAGTTTTTGCCACAGCCACAATATCTTACATTTCGTATCATTATTTCCTATTATCTAAACAGTGCCTTTCAATAACTCAGTGAGGACGGCATAAAATTTTCTCATTCCTTCATCATATTTCTGAAGTATTATATAAGATTTAAGACGTTAATGAACTGACTGACGCATGGTGGAGTCTTATGCATCAGAGCGTGTTCTTGTCTGAGGTGGGTAAAGGTATGAGTTAAGATCATCTTTCGTGTTCATCACGTCGCACGAATGCGTTCTCTCTCTCGTGCACCTGGCTCATGGCTTTTGTCTGATCTGATTTCTAATTCATTAATGTCAAAGGTTGTAAATAATGAAAACAGGAACACGGTGAAGGTAAAATTTGCTTCCTTGAACATATTGCTCTGATATACCTAGTTAAATAAAGACACTGAATATATATACTGTATATATAATAGTGTGTGTGTGTGTTCATTCCTGATGGATGTCCACAGTTTTAAGACAGATCGCTTGTGGCCTAAGACATGTCCCTCCATCCGGTCAAATACTCCTCCCCCCCTCACCCCACCCAACACCTGCCTGTCGCCCCCCAATCCTCTCCGTCTACTGTAACTAACAAGACATCGCTCACCTCCTAGCCTCACCTCTCCACCACGTTCGCAGGAGAGAGGCCCGCACCACAAGCAACTGTAGGTCAAGACAACAATACACACTACCGGATGTTTTGTGTCCCATTCATACTCACCTGGCTGTGTGTGTGTGTGTGTGTGTGTGTGTGTGTGTGTGTGTGTGTGTGGTTCATTCTTTGCCACTACATCATATTGTCAAATCTCCATTACAAATATAAATTGGTTCCATCATATGATATACAATTATCTACCGTATAAAAACATTACGCTGATCTATCTCGTCTTAAGGTAAAGAACGTGACAAATTATCATTTTTCAATTTAAAGGCCAAAACTTCCCACCTTTTTATCATGACTTTCCACACGATTTTAATTCTTGTACTTGTGTTGTGTTTTATTTTTCTACGTTTATTCATTAAGATCTATGTCTCTTTGAACGTGTGCTGTTTGTCCCTTCTGAACACTACATCGTAAACCTCACCTATTTCTCTCACATTAATCTCGCCTCAAACCTCATCCACCTGTGTGTGTGGTCACAGACAGCCAAGTTTATGGACATATAACATTTCTTAGATTACTCACAAGCAACATATGTCAAGCAGTTAGGTCTCAGATTACATTTAGTAGGAAGTATGTCTTCAGGGCTATGTGGCTTACTAAACAACATAGGTCGATATGTCTGACTCAACACATGAAGTAATATAATTCGAGCGTACTGAGACAGACAAACATGGCATCATATACAAGTTCGAAGAATAGTATTCAAGATGACGGTATATAATTAGGTGGGATGATGCAGTCACTACTTTCATCAGTAATGTTGTGGGAGAGTCGTATACTCAGTCAGTCCACGTGGTAACACTTATATTATACATCAGGTGTGGGGAGTGAAACGCTGTCACACTGTTACTACCTCCTCCCCCCCCCCCTCCATGAAGCGTTACTACCATTAACATGAACCATCAGTACCATAGCCTATACCACCTCCTGGACAGTCTTTACTACCACTACTACTGTAAGCAATCACCTATGGAACGAGACATATAGTTGTGTGAAAACCTCTTCACTCTCTCTATCTCTCTCTCTCTCTCTCTCTCTCTCTCTCTCTCTCTCTCTCTACTTCCTCAAACTACATTCTCTTTCTCTCCTTCATCAACTCTTCCCCAGTCTCGTTACATCCCCTCTCTTTCTCTCTCCTCCCCCCCCCTCCCTCTCTCTCTCTCTTCTTCCTCCTCTCTCTCTCTTCTTCTTCTTCCTATTCTCCCCCTTCCCTCATCCTTCCTTCTGTCTCCCTCCTCCCTGCTGCCCAGTAAAAGGCACTGATGAAAATAAACTAGTAAGTCACCGATACAACACGAGAATGTGAATGAGAGGAAGTGACCTGAGAACACTAGTGAGAGACATTGAGAACACCACCAAGAGAGAGAGAGAGAGAGAGAGAGCTATGACATCCCAAAATAGGGGAACGGGGGATGGACTTAGGTTAATTACTCCGTCTCGGCCAGCGGTCACAACAAAGGTCAAGAGAACTGGAAAGTAAAATTGACGCAACTGAAATGATTCTACAGGTTTTGTTTTGGACGATTTCTTCACTATTTCATTACCTTTTGATTATTGAAGGAATATTATCACATTATCACAGCACATAACTTCCACACTCTCACCTGCATCAATACACAACATGTGAGTCGAGCTGTCAGGTGAGGGAAGTAGCGGAACGTTTGTGAGTCATGGTGGCAGTGCTAGAGGTCTTATACCATTCTGGGACTTGTGATTATTACCTTGTGTACTTCCTTCATCCCTCACTGCTATCTCCCTCCCTCCCTCCTCCCTCACTCTCCTCCCTCCCCCTACCTCACTCTCACTCCTTCCCTCCCTCACTCTCTCCCTCCACCTCACTCACTCCTCTTCCTCCCTCACTCTCACTCCCTCCACCTCACTCACTCCCTTCCCCTCCATCACTCCTCCCCTCCCCCACCTCTCCCTTCCTCCACCCTCACTCTCTCCCTTCTCCTCCCTCACTCTCACTCCCTCCCTCCTCCTCACTCCCCCCCCTTCCCTCCCTCACTCCACTCCCTCACTCCTCTCACTCCCTCCCTCCCTCACTCCCTTCCCTCCCTCCTCTCACTCCCTTCCCCTCCCTCACTCTCACTCCCTTCCCTCCCTCACTCTCACTCCCTCCCTCCCTCACTCTTCCCCCTCCCTCACTCTCACCCCCTCCCTCATTCTCCCTCATTGCCAATTTCTTTATCTATCTATCCATCTATCTCTCTGTTTATCTGTCCACATAGATAAATTAAATGAATAACACAAACTAAATGATGTATATAATTAAAAGAATAATTTACCGAATGAACTTACGCTCAGTGAAAATAAACATCACGGAATTAAACTTATTTTTACTATGTTAAAAAGGTCCAACTCATTAACATGTTGTTCTTGAGACGAGGTAAAACATGCCAGGTGAGATCGTTACTACTATCATCTTATTGTTACTCTACTCATCTACACCTGTGCTTGCTACCCTGGCTCCCTGATTAGACCAAACGTAACCATCAGTAGGAGACTAAAATACCCTCTCCCTCCTCCTCCGCCTCCTCCTCTTCTCTCTCCCCCCCCCTTCTCCCTCTCTCTCACTGAAGCCATTACACCATGATAATTAATTTAGGTGGGTCAGTGTACAAAACCTGCACCCGCTCTACTTTTCATACTCTGAAGCCCTCCTCCCTCCCTCACTACGACCCTCAGCAGCTGGTGATTGTTGTTAGCGGACCTCCACCTTCACTTTCCCTCCATTATAACCTTCATATCTGTATTTAACCGCTTTTGTGACACCTTCGCCACCGAGCGACCAATAGCAGGTATGGCCTCTCACGTATAGCTACTGCACATTAACTTATTTATCATTCGTACATTGACACACACACACACACACACACACACACACACACTTCATACATAGGGCAAAACAATACACAAGAAATAGCTAATTGTATGTAGACTCAATAGCTAACCCATACGAATGATTAACTCAGAATTGTATACCTTGACCTTGTGTATAAACTACCATGAGGTATAATGCAGCATCAATTATTCACACACATGAGAATCTTAACAGAGGTGTCGTGATGAGCATAAAACTCACCTGTGTGTGGGCAGCTAATTACTGTACCTGTATACGTCAGCTAGATGGAGTTCTTCTGCCTCGATATTATTAACTTTTGTTTCTGATCCTTATATGATTCTGTAGGTCCTTCTCAACTGACTTCCAGGACTCTATATTAAAATCATTTTGTATATTATTCTACTCTGGGAGATGTTGATTGTATGTTCGTCACTCTACAGATGATCCGCAGTGTCGTGCTGGTGGTGAGCCTTGGGCTATGTTTTGCTGATCTGCCCCCGTCTTCAGGCTACGGCCCTCCACCCCATATCCCAAGCTACGGCCCTCCACCTGCCCCAAGCTACGGCCCTCCACCTACCCCAAGCTACGGCCCTCCACCTGCCCCAAGCTACGGCCCTCCACCTACCCCAAGCTACGGCCCTCCACCTGCCAAGTGCTACCCTCAGACTGAATATGTCACCCGGTACACGACCCAGATTCAGCAGGTCAGTCGACTGATTAATGATGATATATGACAATAGGATCAGTATCTTATAAACCTTACGCTCAACGTTACTGTTTACTGGATAATATTAGGGAGAAATGCCTCTTAACTATGTACCAGTTTTTGCAAGTCTATCTCTATTACGCCATTCAAGACTCTCTTGCTCTTCAGGATATTGTGTGTACTTTTTTACTTAATTTAATTAGAAACAAAAAAAAAGTCACCTGAACTTGGGATAATTAGTATGATTAAAGTTAGAGTATCCTTACATAGGTGAGGGATTACCGCTAGTGTGTTTTAACTGATGTGTTTCGCCCCACAGGTGCCAGTGTACACGACTCTCTACACAACACATGTAGTTCCCACCACCCTGTACCAGACTCACTACAGCACGGTGTACACGACACAGATCCAGCAGAAATATGTGCCACACTACGTCACCACAACCAAGTACCAGCAACAATACGTCACCCAAACGAAATACGTTACGAGCTACTCGACCTCTTACGTCAGCCAGTACGTCACCCAGACCGTCTACGACACTCAATACGTGACGGAGACGTCTTACCTGACAAAGTACGTCACCACGACACAAGTTCGGTATGAGACACAGATAAAGTACACTCCTTCATACGTGACCACCATCAGCTACATCACCACAACAGTTTACCACACCCAGAAGGTTCCCCAGTACAGCACCGTCGTGAAGACACAGAACCAGTACGTCACATACTGCCCTAAACCAGAGCCTGTGTACGGCCCACCACCACCTGTCTACGCCCCACCACCTTCCTATGGCCCACCCCCACCCACCTACGGCCCACCACCACCCCCAGTGTACGGACCTCCTACCATCACACCCAGTTATGGATAAGAAGTACCTGGAGTGAAGAAGCCCACGCGAAACGTCGAGCTTCCTAGAGTATGATATAGATCGACTTACGTATATATTCTCTGTGTGTCAAGTCTGAGTCTGGACAATTAATCACACGTAATAAGTCACCTAATATAAAACTTCTGAGTATATTTACAAAGAACCTCGATATAAAATGCGGCAGCCTCAAGTAAAGTTAAACCAGCAATAGCTAGTCACTCAGTGGATACACCAACAATAGTCAGACATGTGTACTGCTTCGCGTCACATCTCGGGGACCTGTTCAGACGTGAGGGATTAATATGAGATTACTCTTTGTTTTTCTACCCATTTTTAAAGAACGAAGCAACGCTTCTTTTATTTCTTAAACTTTATTTCTCTCTTTAATTTATTTTCCTTTTGTCCTGATCAACATCAAGTAACTCTTGAATCTCTCAGGACATTCATATTGTTGATTCGTCTATGAATATTTTATAATATTTGTACTAATGAAATTATTTAATAATAAAGTGAACAAAATAACTGTGTACTTCATTTTACTACCAATAACACCAAAAGGTCTCTACCCAACTATCTGAAACGTATTACATGGTAACTAAAGCAAACAGGCAATAGGTGTCTGGACTTAAATAAATAAATAAATAAATAGATAAATAAATAAATAAATAATAACAACAACAACTAGGGCCTTTTATATACAGGTTACATCTCAAGAACAACGTTATCAGACAGCTTTTACTTAATAATTGTCTTTATAATTCTTTTTAGACCTTTCCCCACTATGGCACAACAGCGTACATAGAATAAATAAAATAGCGACTGACATTCAATCACTCATTGTACACTATATAAACCACTCGACACTATATAAACCACTCGACACTATACAAACCACTAGATACTAAATAAAACCACTCAACACTATATAAACCACTCGACACTATACAAACCACTAGATACTATATAAACCACTCAACACTATATAAACCACTCGACACTATACAAACCACTAGATACTAAATAAAACCACTCAACACTATATAAACCACTCGACACTATATAACCCACTCGACACTATATAAACCACTCAACACTATATAAACCACTCGACACTATATAAACCACTCGACACTATAAAACCACTCGATACTATATAAACCACTCGACACTATATAAACCACTCGATAATGTATAAACCACTCGACACTATATAAACCACTCGACGCTATATAAAGCACTCGACACTATATAAACCATTCGACACTATATAAACCACTCGACGCTATATAAACCACTCGGTACTATATAAACTACTCGACAATATATAAACCATTCGACACTATATAAACTACTCGACACTATATAACCCACTCGACACTATATAAACCATTCGACACTATATAAACCACTCGACGCTATATAAATCATTCGACACTATATAAAGCACTAGACACTATATAAACCATTCGACACTATATAAACCACTCGATACTATATAAGCCACTCGACACTATATAAACCACTCGACGCTATATACACCACTCGACGCTATATAAACCACTCGACACTATATAAACCACTCGATACTATATAAACCATTTGACATTATATAAACAAACTCAATACTATATAAAAAACTCGACACTATATAAACCACTCGACACTCTATAAACCACTCGACACAATATAAACCACTTGATACTATATCAACCACTCGACACTATATAAACCACTCGACACTATATAAACCACTCGACACTATATAAACCACTCGACACTATATAAACCACTCGACACTATATACTTTCTCATCATACAGGTTCCCAAGTGTCATCTCTTTCCAATCTAGTACTTCCCTCACTTCTCGAATTCAATAGTTCCCACAAGCCTCCACAATCATCCAAGTCGTCTCTCTCTCTCTCTCTCTCTCTCTCTCTCTCTTGTACAATCTTTCTGTGAATCCTAACTCTCGTATTACCAACAATTCATCATCTACAAACAGCAGATGACTCACCTCCCATTTGCACCAATCAAACAAGCTGGTGTCCCTCCCTCAGCTATATCAAGGTTGTGTACAATAGTGACGCTTCTATATAACGTATTTCTATCTCTATATAATCCGTTAGATAGAAGTTTTACATCTAATGGACTTTGGATATAACAGACTTTCATCTCAATATTCGCTTAAATACAGGTTTCATTGTATTGTCATGGCTAGTTACATAAAATAATGAACAACTTTGACAATAATACACATTCTTCTCTTATTACTTAACATAAACAATCTGGCCACACACACACACACACACACACACACACACACACACACAGGCGCCTTTATATTAAGATTAACGAGAGATACTCTGTACCACAAGAGAGATTAAGGAAAAGTCACAGGTCAAAAATGAGGTCAAGAAAAGGGAGAACGTTTAACCTTTTCTGTGTGTGCCCTTAAGGCTGTAGCAAGTGATATATGATAGTGTGATAAAGACAAACAAGATGTACAATATATTCAGTACGACGAGATGAAACAGTTCATTAATGTTATGTGTTTATGAGGGGAAGGTATAGAGGGTGTAAAGGCTATGTTGGTATGAGACATTATGAAGGTGGCAGTGAGCTGGGCATGGACGCTTCCCCACCGGGTGAGTGACTGGCGGTGGTGACCAGGAACCTGCCTCTCACAACTCCACATACCTGTACCTGATACCGTAATAATATATTGAGAGAAAGTTAAGAGTAGGAAAGAATGAGAGAAGAAAGAGAAAGCGTGAGGTAGAGAGGGGAGGCAGAAGAGAACTGTAGAGAGAAAATGAAAAAAATTGACAGTAAAGAGGAAAAAAAAAGGCGGAACTGTTAAAGTAAAAAAAAAAAAAAAGAACAAAAAAGGAAAGATGGATCAGTAGTTTTAATGATTAAGTTCAAGCCACCGAGAGTACGTAATACAAAGAGAAGAGGAACACTGGAGATGACTCGGGTCAACCACGTGCCCAGTGAAAGTAAAAGTGAGAGAAAGGCAAAAATGTTGGATGGATGCCAGGCAGAAGGAGCTAATCAAGAACCCAGTAAACCAATACCGGGTTCGTTCCTGTCACACACAGGTTAAATAAAGTTAAGTTAAGTTAAGTTAATTTAAGTTAAGTTAAGTTAGATAGACGATTATTAGGTAAAATCTGCCAGAGAAAGCAGGGCGTGAACTAATCTTTGCTAGAATAACTTGTAATGAAATCTTATCTCTGTTTCTGACTCGTGAGGTAAGTTTTTGTGTGCATGACCCATTGCAGTTTATTCCAATTGTTTTACGTAAGTTAATGATACGTTATATTTTTACCTCAAACGAAGAATAGAAAGCTAGAAAGGAGTGATGGAATGGGTGTGAGGAACTTAGCGTGAGGGTATAGCGAGCAGGTGGAACTCAGCGTGAGGGTATAGCGTGCAGGAGGAACTCAGCGTGAGGGTATAGCGAGCAGGAGGAACTCAGCGTGAGGGTATAACGAGCAGGAGGAACTCAGCGTGAGGGTATAGCGAGCAGGAGGAACTCAGCGTGAGGGTATAGCGAGCAGGAGGAACTCAGCGTGAGGGTATAGCGAGCAAGAGGAACTCAGCGTGAGGGTATAACGAGCAGGAGGAACTCAGCGTGAGGGTATAACGAGCAGGTGGAACTCAGCGTGAGGAACTCAGTGAGGAATAACGAGCAGGTGGAACTCAGCGTGAGGGTATAGCGTGCAGGAGGAACTCATGTGAGGGTATAGCGAGCAGGAGGAACTCAGCGTGAGGGAATAACGAGCAGGAGGAACTCAGCGTGAGGGTATAACGAGCAGGAGGAACTTAGCGTGAGGGTATAGCGAGCAGGTGGAACTCAGCGTGAGGGTATAGCGTGCAGGAGGAACTCAGCGTGAGGGTATAGCGAGCAGGAGGAACTCAGCGTGAGGGTATAACGAGCAGGAGGAACTCAGCGTGAGGGTATAACGAGCAGGAGGAAGTCAGCGTGAGGGTATAGCGTGCAGGAGGAAGTCATTGTGCAAACACCATGATATTACACCCCTCCTCAACAAGCACCACACTGCCTTTCACTACGCTATTCGTATGCTAAGAACACTAACACTAATCACAGGTGCTCAGGAAGTCCCCATGTATGCAACCCAATCATGTGTGGCAGCTGTAACTTATCCCGGAAGAGAATAAAGACTTATTTACAACATCTTGGCAGAGGAACACGGTAGACTGAACCTTGAGTTGTTTATCTCGGGCAGGGGAGAGATTGGACTTAGATAGCCTCGATCATTGCCTTGTATACATTGATTCAGTGGGCTACAGTGCATACCAGAAGCAACGGAAACATACACCTGTGAATAATGTACTGGTCACATAAGGGGCTATCACTGTACAAGAGGTGGTCCATTGCTTGCAAGTAAAACATAACACAAGAGATAATATAGTTAAATTAAAAGAACGGAATTGAGATTATGAAACAAAAGGTTCTTAAGAAGATAATTACAGTATACGTCATTACTTCCCCAGCTTGTCCTAACAACTTAAGAACACAACCAGGCGTCGTTTAGTGTAAAGACGGTGTGGTAACGGGGATCTTTCACTCCTTGTTAACTCCTATAAGGGGCATTTAGCCTTTGACGTCATAAGGAAACACAAAAAGTAAACACAAACAAAAAGGAAAACAAATACAAAATGCAAACAAAATACAGAAAAGTAAAATAAGAAATAAACGAACAGCAACGACAATAACAAGAATAACATAGCTAATGATTTATTATTTAGACATACAAAGGTTTTAACACACACACACACACACACACACACTGCTTTATTCCGTCTCTACAAATATGAATACCTTCCAAATTTATCAAGATATTTAATGGCAGAGTAAATTTCCACGTTGAAGAAGTTTGTCTGTTACTCGACCTATTTTATCCGATTTATTGACCTCGTTACAACATTATCTAAGGAACTAATGTCTAATGAACAACTAAAATATTTCACCACCTTAATAAACTTTCTCATATATTTCACAGCAGATGATATAAAAGAGCTAGAATAATATTACGTTAAATTCAACAACACTTCCGGCAAGAAAATTCCTTTGTGAAATTTTACCCTCAACGTGACCACTGACAACGCTTACACCTCACACTGTGTTATGACATAGTATGTGTGTATGATGTTACCACCACACGATTCATTACTGACGTTTAGAGTAGTTGTTTTCGAGTTGGTAACATTGTTAGTTTTTCTGTGAAGTTCTTAAGTCTTAATCTAAGAACTAAACAATATTTTGACAGTATGTTTATTTTATTACCATGATTCATTCCATTTTTATGATCATCGGCTGTAAATTTATATGAAGAAAAAAATAGACCAACATTAATGACCATGTTTAAACTGCATCTTCAAGTCTTTCCTACTCGTATCTACTAAACATAAACATATAACATTCTTTTTATTAGCGAGTTACAAACATTGCATAAGGAGTCTTTATTGTTGTACCAGGAGGTAGGTTTTTTTTT